TGTCTGAGATGTCAAGGAAAGGGCCAGATGTACAACCGTACATCTGGCCATAAAACATGGATGCGACAACCCCCCATCCCCTCATTTTGGCTCACACATTGCAAGTTTACAATGACGACAATGATCAACAATCAAAAGAGGAAAATTAACTAGTAAAAGTTTCATTTGATGACAGAGAATTCCCATTACTTCACAAGTACGGTTAAAACACATTTAACAAATTTCCCGCAATTTTGTACAGTAATCCATGACAGATTTTCGAGATGTAGGTCTTATTTCACCCAGAGCTCTGTTTTCACAGTAATTGACTCCACCATGGAGTAAATGGGAGAAAAATGAAAAGATGAATTACTCTAATGGAAGGAAATGAAGTGTGAAAAGAGACATTCTTCCTGTATTTTCTTGGATGCAGAGCATTGGTAAATTGAAATACAAGAAGGACTTCACTTCTGTGTACGGCAGGTCTGCCACAATTAGAGAGGAAGATGTCATTTTAATTCCCATCACTTGTAAAAGACGCATTTATCTGGTACTTCTTGAGTAACAAAAAGCCAAACGTAGAAATGGAAAAGAGATCAAATTAAGTTCAAATGCTGAAAGCTGAGCTACACAGAATTCAAATGACCATTTTTAATACATTCTGCTGCTCATTATAGAGTTAGATTTGCTTAAGGTTGTCCTGTTTATGCCCCTGCAAGGGCTGCAGTAAATCTCATGCAAATGGTAAAGCTGGTTAGCTCTGTTTTGGTTCTGCTCCAGTTTAAAGGTCAGGGCTTATGAGCACCATTAAGGAACAGTTTGTCTACAGCCTGTCGGAAGGACAGTGCTCGATGAACCGGAACATAGACAGGGCGTAATAAATGAAAGGGAAAACTTATGGTTCCGCTCAATGAAGTCAAAGGGCAGATGGAGGATAAGTGTATGTCTTATTTCAACGTGGCAATGTTCGCCTGATTCCAGATCTGAATGAGGGAAAATCTGATGTATAGACAATGGAATTACATCACAGTCATGAATGAAAACATTTTACCGTGTATGGAGTCAGATTGTGATTTTACCGCTGTTCACTTATGGTATTACTAATTAATCTGTTTCTCTCCATTATATCTTTTCGGTATTAGATATCACTTTTTTAAACTGAATAAGTGAAAGTTACCAACAGAAGATTTCTCATCAATTTATCAGTCAAATCTTCATTTAGACCCCTAAAAAGAGTCAAATAAGAATGATCAGTTGGCCTTTCTTCTGAGCCTAGCGGAAACGGCTTATTGATTTACTTTTTTAACGACTCTCTGTAATAATAGGGAAATAAAGCCCCTGGATATTAAGAGATTGATGTCAATCAACGGCTCCCCTCAAGTGTGGCTTGTCCCATCGTATTAGCACACTCTCCATGCACTTAGTGTTCACTGATGCCTCCAAAGACAGGCGACCATAGCGAGGAGGATGGCTGTTGCCTCCTAGAGGAGCATTCCTCCATGATTGCTCACTCTGTCATCTAAGTCAGAACACACTGACGCTGTACACTTACATTGTTATGGATCCATGTAATTCTCTAGCAAAGGACAAGCTTTTACCTTTGCTATTAATGTGACACATAAATGGAATGACTGGATGCATTTAATCTTAAACAGGTTTATGGGCTATACATCTGCAAATACATCTTATAATTATAGACACTTTCCTGCATAGCATCCTTGTACCTGAACTATAATGAGTATGCTGTTTGATCCCATAAACATACAGCAACTGGGCCCAGAGAGATGTGCACTAGTAAAAAAATGCCAACGTTTTCAGATTCTGATTCTGATAAAAGTCCTGCTTATATTTTAGTGATTTTTGTATGAATAAGTCAGATTTTTCAAACTTCTAAAACAAGGCACATTTAAAATACGGGGTTGTAAATTATTATTGCAGAATGTAATGGGGCAGAAGGATACATTAAGTTTCTTCTTCCTCTGAGAGTGTATTAACACTTTATTTCCTCTCATGTCTGCATAATGCATATCCTTTGCCTGCTTTACCGTCTAGTCTGTCTTAAAAGAGAACACATGCTGTAGAATAGTAAACAGCATTTTGTTGTCTTGTTGCCATCTTGTTGCCTTAATTTATAATTAGCCAGCCATGTGATGTGATACAGGAATATATATAAAAGCTGGTGTGCAGCATGGTTTAGACTCTCAAAAATGTTTAATTTGTCATGTCTAGTTAATATATGGCAAATATACTCAAAAGTAAGACGCCATAACAAAGGATTAGAACCTGACAAAGCACATTAGAGATCACTTTGTTCTGAAAATGTAGTTGTTGTAACACTATAGGTTAACTATAGGTTATCGGTGGCCCTCTAGAGCAGTAACTGTTAATGAGTTGGTGTTGAGGTGTAATCTTAACCGGGAACAGCTTTTTTGAAATTCACTTCTGGCCGAAAATTGTCTGGTATTGTCATGTTTTGATACATTAATATGCAAACATCATTTTGCTGCTGACTATGTAGCCAAATTTTAAACGCACAGGGAAAACTAATCCAGCTAACGATTACTGGAATTATCTCATTCTTTTTAATTTGGAGAGAAAATATGCATAAACCCAAAGTGGTAATATCAAAAAGCTTATTTGACCAGTTAACAAGCCAAACCTAAAAGTGACACATTCTCAACAAATGACTGTTAGGTTTAATTCCTTCTTCTCAAACCTCTACTATAAATGCCCAATTACACCTCAGAGATCAGAGCAGTATGCTAGCAGTACTTCTCTTTTCTGTAATCACCATTGAGGTCTCCTACCTGCACACATTGATCCTGTATTGATTTGTGTATGAGAAACTCTAGTTCAGCCCAGTCCTCCATTTTCACTCTCGAGTCGATATCCTGACTCAAGGACAGCAGCTTATTGGTTAAAATTTGCACGTAGAGGTAGTTAAGAAGATGAAAATAAGAAGAAAACAGAAGGCAGGATTTAGTCTTTTAGTCTGATACAACAACAGTAATATTGTTGATAAAATTATTATTCAGTTTTATGATGCTGTGAAATGTATTTGAGATTCCTCTGTAATTTGCTCTTGTGAGGAAAGAAGAAGTGCTTCAATCATTTATGTAGACCTTTCGCTAAACTCTTTATTCTCTCTGGTAGCGGGACATGTCAAATATGCTTAGCTTGCCTTTATAGTGCTGTTTGCTCACTCTTGTTGTGACAGAATAAGGCTACAAGGAGATGTTTCTACTCCATCTCAGAACATCAAAAAGTCTTTGAATTGCTTCTGCTGGCAAGAGAGATGAATGTGAGGTTGTCGCGTCTGTCAGTATAAAATGTAAAACCATGTGTCAGTTCTGTCAGCATGGAACAGGCTTTGTAACAAAATTGTTTACTCTGCCTCTTGAATAGCCTGATCAAACTTTTATTAGCGTTCTGGATGCTGCTAAAATGACTTGGCATCAGCAAAATGTTGCATGGGCTTACAATTACTTTGAAAGTTTTATGAGCAAAACAGCTTCCCAGTGCCAATTCATTTTAACCTTTATTTAGACATCGCTTTTTCTTTTTAACCTCCATGTATGTTTCCAGTTATGGGAGTGATTGTAGAATCAATAATAACAAAGCACATTTTACAAATTGAAAATAGACTTGCCAGAAGCCATATTTGGCACTGGTGAGATGATTTAGAGATGTTTTATATACCCAAAAAATATCTGGGACTTTGAGTTGGCTCCCAATATGCAAGCTCTGCAATTTAAGAAGGAAAATTAAGCAAGCAAGTCCAACTGCTACCGATCAAACATTCATGAGGAAAAACCATGTGCGCTTAGCAAGAAATGCATTCAAGACATTATTGATGCATCACCTTGGCCCATCCTTGTTACTATTTTGCCATTCAAATTACCTCTGCATAACATTTCTTATTAAATCGGTCTTGACGTCCAACAGGGGCTCCTTCATCTGTGCTCTTGGAGTGTTGTTATAGAAACGTTCTCATTGGGACATCTCACTCATTTGCCGCCAGTGTCAACAACATCCTTTCATCTATAAAAGTCTGCTGGCAGCTATTCTGCCTCATTAGGACAAACCATCACCCTGAACGCAAGCTAATTAAGGCGTCAAAGCAGACAACATTGTCTTATGTAGACAAATGTCAATAGACACATGAAAGGATGATATCAAATCCCCTGTTGTTTTACTCCTTTTTTGGCTTTCTGTAAGCTGTTACTCAAAACACTTTGTCTTATATGAATAATTTTGTCTCTTGGCAAATCTTTACTTTACATTACGTATATGTGAAAATGTACAGATAGTGTGAAACAGTAAGAAATGTAAGTAATAATTAATATATCAATACTGTACAGTGAAACTGCCATCTTAATTTTATGTCCTCTATCTTAAAAAAAACAACTAATGGAATTCTCCTATGACACACACCTTGATGGTTAGTTGGCTCTAGAATATGAAAACCTTCGAAAAACCTTCACCTTCATGATTCATAAATAAGTCATAGTTATTTGAAAAAAATCCACCGTAGTATATTTAAACACTCGGAATGGTAAGAAAAACACGTTGTTTTTTTCAAACCACGTCTTCAGAAAGCATGAACAGACAGTCTTAAATGCTTTTTCTGCCCTTTGGAAGCACATGAAAAGTATTTGCTATAAGAAAAAATGATTGCTCATGTTTTTTTTCCCCAGCTGTTAAAAAGCTTTGTTAATATTAGAAATGAGAAACTCTGTGTATTAATTTAGCTCTGCCCCAAAGTTTCAGGACCTGCAAAGGGAAATATAGTCAAATATGCATTTGAATTGATATTAGTCAACTATCTTGTTAGTAATGTTTTATACATGAAGTGCATGCTGTACTTAACTTTGATTGATTAATTTAAGATCAAACTCAGCTCTTTGTCCATTTCAAAGCCATGTAATGCTCTCACATGTGCAATTTGGAATTTATTTGACATTTTGTGTATTACACGTTTACACATGATAATGACATATTGCCATTTTCTCAATTTTCAGGTCCAACGGAAAGCAATGGCATCAGTAAGAGAACGCTGGACCGGGACAGGGACCTCTTCACGCACTCATCAATACACGACACGGAAAGTGAAATCCATTCGGTCACGACTGTGTCGCCAGTCAACGTGCCCAACCACCATCCCGTCTTCAAGGGCCTGCTGCTTCCCGAGCACCTGCTCACGAGGAACTTCCAGGGGGACCAGCATTTCTTTAGGCAGGACGGCTCTGTGGCTGCACATCCCACCATGCCAGGCTCTCTGTCTGCCCCAAATGCAGGCGATGCTGTCACTCAAGTCGTGCCCCACGAGGATGCTCCGGCCTTCTCAGACGTGGCCACAACCGCCACTGCGGCCGCCACTGTCCCCCTGACCACGTTTTCTCACACAACACCAGCACCACCCATGTCTTTCCCTCAGAGGAAGTCAACTAAAGAGAAGATGAAGGGTTCCGAGAAGGTAGAGCCAACAACGGACTCCATCACAACTCAAATGACACCTAACAGCGGTGGTTCAGGACGGGAAAACAAGCAAGCGGCTTCGTCATCTTTTCCAATGGAGTCCACAATTGCACCGACCTCTGCTGGGATGAGGAAAGGGCAGGTGGAGGAGCTGGCACCAAAAAACAAAACCAAACCTGATCCACTTCTCCCCAAGATAACTTCATCCTTTCAAGAAGAAGGTACCACCATGGTATCCACAACCGTGATCACAACAACTACTATCACCACCATGCAAGCATCAGGTAGACATGTTTGTAATGCAAGCAGATCATTCAAATGACACTGTCAAACAAAAATAATCAAAATCTGACATTTTACAATCCATGGAAATTTTGAAAAATTGCGAGGTTCTTTCACTGGAAATCAAAAAATGAATCCAAGACAGGATATAAAACATTAGGCAACTGATCCTCAACGTCAATTCCTTTAATTGTGTATTCTGGGCACGACTATTTGTCCCTCCACTTGGGATTACAGAGTTGCTCATGTGTCAAAAACAATCAGATTTTTTTTCCTGATGTCTCCTGCCTGTCCTTTCCACTGGTCATAGAGGGCTGAAGGCCGAGATAAGCATTATCAGAGGGGATATCTGCCGAGATAGTTGGAGGGGTTGTGGGGGCAGAGAGACACAGGTGGGCTGTCAGAAAGATCAGTGGTCTGGGAAAAAGGGAATCACTTTTCTTTTTACTGTCTCCCACAGAGCCATGCAGCATGAATTTCACTGACCCAGAGGGTAACATCGAAATCTTACAGCAACTTGACGCTGGTGGGGAGTGCAACTACTTGATTACTGTCTACCTGGGATACGGCATCGAGGTTCAGGTCAGTGTTATAGGTTCACTCTACTATTATCAATTCCAAATGACCATTTCTTTGTTGTTGATCCAAAGTAGATGATTTATTTCAGTTTGACTCAAATTTTCTATAAACAAGTATAAAAACCGTTGGGTTAATTTGTATTTTGTAGCCCTAAGAGCTTGTCCGAGTGAATTACTAATTACATTTCTTCTCTTCAATGCTGGGTAGGTTGGGACCAATGGTTTATCAGAGCTGCTTTTAACTTAAAACTGACGGGAATATGAAACCGACTGAAAGCCAAGACACTGGCCCAAAATGAAAGGGACAACACATGAGAGGTGGTGTTTTTGTGTTTGGCTGTTAAACCAAAACAGGACACAGAGATGGGTGAAAATTGGAAGGAAGTGCTTCATTATCCATGCCAGAATGACTTAGAAAAAAAGCCAAACAAAAGCAAAACATCATTCATGTTTAATGTAAAAGTGTGAATGGTCGGGATTTTAATTGGCACTGCGCTGCTTTTCTGTGCTTTTGACACCTATCAGATTAACAGGAAGTTGCCGCTAAAGTGAGCCGCTCTGACATATTTTTGTTTAGTTTCAGCCAAAGCATTATTAGCCGGTCTTGTGTGGGTTGACAGAGATAGACAGGCACGGAATTAGTGGGGTGAGTGGGTGGAGGAGGGCACCGGCGATGGGGTCTGTCTCAGGTTGAATGTTTGCTCGGTGAGCCTCTTTACAAAAGGTTATAAAAATTAACTGTCAGCGTGGAGCGCTGTTCCCCGGCATTTGCAATTCCTCAAACGCCTCATTTACCACTGGAGACTTAAAATGTGCGAGCTTTGTCTTGCTGCCTCTGGAGGGCTAAGATAAGTCTTGACAGAGTGCATGTTTGAGAGTGTGCTTTTTCTCCAAAGACGTCCTCGGGGTAACTTAAGTAAATCTCGAAGCAGTTCTAAGACACGCACTTACCTGCATGCACACTTAAGTAGTCATGTGTATTTTATGTAACAGCTCTCAGGTTCTCCAGTTCAGTAAGTTTCTTTAGTGACATTAAAAATCTCAACCAGGCTGAATACTGGAACGTTGATAGCTAAACCCATGTTGACATTGTTTTCTTTTGATTCCTGGAGTTGTCAGAAGGAAACGTGACATCACAGGGACATGGCTTAATAAAACTATATGGTAGCATCATTAAATGTAACAAGTTTACCTACTTCTGACAGCAGCATGAGAAAAAAAGTGTTATTGTCACATAATGAGCTCTGCCAACATAGTTTATGAGAAATGATAGCGTTCTTTGAGCAAAGAGCTAAAATAGATGTCTGTTTTTTTTTTTTCACATTTCAGGTCAAGCTACCCAAATTGTGTGTTTGGCTGTCTTTAACCAAGAAGCGTTGTGCATAAATTTAACCAACCTGAGAATGAAAACAAAATTGATACAAACTGAAAAGTAAGAAGCCTGAGTAAGAAGTGGTTCAGAGTCTTGCATCGACTCCTCAAGTTCAAATGGCTCGATATTGATTGATGCAATACAGTGCCCACCGCAGACTCAAAGACCAGAGACCCCTCTGAGTTTGATCAAAAACACTGACAAGAAATAAGCGCGATCAGACCCTCTCTGTACTTAGTCGATACTATTTTTAGCTGTCTGGCAGTTTTCAGAAGAAGGAGGGTGAAAAATCTACCAGGAGAATTTACTGTCCTCAGCTTTATTGTTCCACCCCTCTAACAGCACATAATGCATTGGCCCAGCTGGTGATTCTGACCACATTAGATTTATTTGCAGAATAACAGTGAGAATATTAAGAGGGACAAAATAATACACCTTTTACCATAGAGATAAATAATTAAAATTATACTAGGAGCATTTTATTACTCTGTTCTCTTTACTATAAAACAATTAGGTGCTGTCCATAGATTTCTATAGGGGGTGTGCAATCCATTTAGTAGGATAGATTAACTACTTATTTTTCTCAGCTATTATGTTTAGGGGCAGCAGTAATTAATAACTTTAGAGGAGGAGGCTATTAGTTTATCTAACAAAAAGCAGGTTTATCAAATTAGGTTTACTGTTTTATTTCCTTGGAATTGCAGCTTGGTCTATATATAAATGCCAAGGTTAGTTTGGAATATTTTATTTTGAATACTAGAAAACATTAGATTCATATGTGTCCTGGTTATGTCACTGTTAAGGTAAATGAGCTGTGATGTGGACATTACTGAGATTTGGATATTGGAGGTGGATGTGTTAGAAATAGAAAGCATTTGACCAATGAATTGGTAAACCACATCACACTTTTATTCCCTTCTCTTCACCAAAGTCGCATTTCCATGAAATCCTTAGCATGGGACAGATGGGTTTTTTTTCTGTGGCTGGGCTGTGGCATTAAAGTGCTAAAAATCTGTTTTAGAGCTGTTTTATTTGATCAAATAAATCTGGGTGGGTGGGCTGGCTATCAGCTCCTTCCAGGCCATCTGTCCTGCTCTGATTTCTTCATCTTCTCTGCTCTCTGATCTACCTGCCCGGGTCTTGAGGAGTAACCATCTGAGGCTGTGCTTAGCACCTGACTGGTCTGTTTCATGGAACATCCTGCACTCCTGCTCAAAGGGAATGTAATGTGTATGAAACACAGAGATTAGAAGTCTATGAAGAGTTGCTCCAACCTGATGACAGCAGCGTTCCAATCTGCTGACAGGCCTAAACCCACATCATTCACAAAAGTGATGGGAGTCAGTGAGAATCAATACTTTATAGTTCCTGTTTTTTTCCGATACCGTCTGTCTCCTTTTACCTTTCATTTTTCTATTTTCAGTAACACCTTTTAGATTTTTCCTCCATTTAATCATTTTCCCTATTTGTTTCAGTCAATGAGTTCAATTAGTTACTTCAGTAATTTATCATTTAATTGATTGTATTACGTTGAATAAAAATTGATTTATAGGCCTGCCATCACTGATTCTACTTTTAACCCTTCAACTCTTACATTTTCTATTTTTTGTTAATTGTCAAAGCCTAATTTGAATAACTATGCATACATTAAAAGCTGAGTACTCATTTAGATATTCAGCAACGCTTTTAGAGTCAAGACAATTTTCTGAAATTCAAATGTATAGAGTCAGAAACCATAGAAAGGTCTGTTTGGCCTGTTGACAGAAGCCTATGAAACATATTAAAGATGGCCTTAAGTCTCAATGGAGAAAATAATATATTCCAAGTTTTTCAAGCTGAGATGAGTGCATTTTGTCTCACACAATTCATAACAAACTGCAATAAAACTCGAAAGTGTATAATGAGCTCAAGGCTAGATGTGCAAATGAATTACACCTAAGGTGAGGCTTTTCGAGGAGGATCATCAATGAAGCACCTCTCTAAGGATTGAGACGTTACAGAGCATGCGAAGTGTTTACAGCTAATCCTGACTTGAGGGTTAACGATTGGTATTTGATACTGCCTATACGACCACGCTCCTCTGACTCCAATCAATAGCCATGTTAATAAGCCGCACCAATACTTGACACACAGGCCCCTCTCAGTGCCAGCTGAATTGCTGTATTGATCTTTGCACTCTCATTTTAATTCCAGTATTTCTTACAAAAGAAGCTAAATTTGCAAGGCATTGACCCTTTCTCGGGGTGGCTGATGAGTGAGGGAATTAAATTTGTTTTGTTGGCGCTCAGTGGCCACCAGTTCTTTCATCAGATGAAAGGGCCACGGAAAAGCAAGCGTTTGGCACTTTTAAAAAAAAATTAAAAGTCTCATTTGAAAGCTCACTAATGAATGTAATCCCTTTTCCACCCCTTGACATCCAATGACTCTGTTTGTCTGCGGCAGAAATGACACAGGACATAGTAGACGTGTCGCAGAGAAACTGAGCCTGACTGAGTAATGGAAACCAGGGCAGGCTTGCTGCCTTTAATCAACCTAAGATGAGGCGAAAGGAAACCTTCATCATGCTGTGCTCTGGACGAGTAAGCCAGGACATAAAGATGGCCAGTTTGATCTTGATGAGCTCTTTAGGGTGTCGGGGCTTTGCTGAGATGAGTTTTCGTGGGGCCCAGCCATCCCGAGAGAAATGCTTTCAGGTGACACTAATTGCTCCTCCACCGGGCTACCTGTCATACAGGCAGAAGCCTGTCTGGGAGAAGACTAAGTTCTCCCCAGCTCTTTCAGCATGGTGATGAAGATGGGAGCTAAGATGCATGCCGGCAAATATTAGGAGTAATGAGCAAATGCATGTATTTAAATCTATGCAAAGATGCACACGGCAATAAATAAACCCAGCCTCCGAGGTCTGGGGAATACCACAAGAAGAGAGCCTGATTTATCAGAAAGCATGAATCTAATCTCAGAGTGTTTTATATCTGCTTCACTAAAGGTGTCTGGAAGAAACCAAATTAGAAAAGATGATCACCGTGAGGTGTTGTATACGGCAATCTCAAGACTATAAAACAGTCCCCAGCTCAGATGGAAATGAATTTTGTGTTCATCCGCTGGCTGAAGAATGTTAGTATTAACATCCAGCTCTTGCTGATTGCTTGGTATCCATTCATTGTTTTAGACAGCGGGGAAAACAGGATACGGCCTTGGCATTTTTTTCATAGAGGTGAATGTTCAATTAAGATAACGTTTCTCGTGCAATGAATACTGTAAGAGCAGCTTTTTAGTTTGCAGAAATGTATTCTTGAAACACAAAAACACTGTGGTGTACCAAGATTATTCAAATGGAAGCCGGAGATGGAGGGGCTAGGAAGAAGGCACATTACCAGTTAGTTCCACCGTATAATCCAGCGGGTTTTATCATGGTAATGATGACATTGCAGGTGGTGAGTCCAGTGGCTGTTGATTCATAGCCCACAGCAGCTGGGTCATTTATTTCCCTTGTATTGTGTTACTGTATCATTTTGATTACACTTGGCTCATTTCTGCCTCGGCAATAGCTCCTGTGAGTCAGTGCAAATGTTCATTTCGGAGCACCACCAGATGTTTTCAACAATAAAACATCAGTCAGAGTGGGTCTCAGT